ATGTACCTGCTTCAGGCTACACTCCCAGAAAGAGGCAGAGGTGGGATTTGGTCTGAGGCAGTCCTATGGATATTTGATGATGAGATTTTGATCCTAGAAATCCTACGGCCATTGGGGTCATTCCCATTGGTTGGGTAAGACTAGCCATATGGGTGGGTCTGATTTTCAAACATCTCCCTTATAAAGGTCCTTGATGGCCCCCGGCCCTTCCCCTCTGTCCTCTGCCCGTACCTGTATTTGTGCAGGAGATGCTCCCACCACTTCCCATAGGCCCTTTTATTTACCTCCTTGGCCACCATCAGGGGCAAAGGGGGCAGCTGGACTGGGCTCTCCATTTGAGCTGCTCTATGGAATGCCAGCAACCTAACCTCCAAGGTCCCTCCCCTTCCCATCGGTGCTGGGGCCCAGGCAGACAGGGGGCGCTCTGCACATCCGGAGTGCTTGGCAGCTTTCGGAACACTTGTTTCTCAATCCTGCCGTTTACAATGTATTCCTCACATGCCAATTGCAACTGCGGAAGTCTCCTTCTGGGGCACACCGTTGGGGGCTGGCCTGGGGCCATTCCATGGGCATCATTCCTCCTCCAGAGACATCTCCTTCATTGCAAGGGGTTCTCAAAGGAACATTCGGAAGACGATTTGATTCTGAGATGGGATGTCTTCTCCAAACTGTACAGGCTTGCTGTGAGGACCAAATGAGATGACATAATGGATGGAGCTGAAGGGAGCGTAGTCAATGTTCGTGGCTACTCTATTTTCCTAGAGAGAGACTTGGCAGTGCAATGGTGATGTGTTTGTTGGCCTGCGGATCCGCCAGGTAGGCAGTTTGAAGCCACCAGGCTCGCCTCTTCAGAAGAACGATGTGGGGCTCTCTGCTCCCACACACAGTTACAGTGTCGGAAACTCACCAGGACACCTATCCTGTAACAGGGTCACTCTGAGTCAGCGTCGACTGGGTGGCAGTGAGTGAGTGATTTCCTACGCTTGGGATTTTTTGCTAAAAAGCTTGGAAGAACCCTGCTCTGATGTCGCTGCCGCAGACCATAGTCACTACCATTCTGAAGTGGTCCCCGAGAAGAGCCTGTGACCAACGCGCTCATCTTTCCCAGCACACCCAGCATGAGGTCAAGACCTTCCACGGGGCTGCAGGGAACGGAGCGAATCCCGGGCGCTACTCCTTCAAGGGCTTCCTTGGTTCCAGCAGTGGGGGTCAAAAGGCACACTGGCTGCCCAGCTGAGTCTCCAGCTTGCTCTGTGTCCACAAACAGACCCTCAAGGCCCACCTGTCGGGGAAGTGACGGAGAGCAGCCCCCAGTCTGCTGCTGGGGCTTGGTAAACAAAGTCATGCATTTAACACTGAGCAAAATCACGGGGGAGGCCATTCAAACAACGGGTGCGAGGGAGCTCACCGGAGAGCTAAGGTGTAGCATCCCGGCTGGCGCTGGCTTTCCCTGAGGATGTAGGCGCCCTCCACCCCTCGGAGAAGCTCGTCGGCCTGCTCCCGAGAGATGATCCCGTGGAACCTGAGGAGAGACAGACGGTGGGTGTTTGAGCAAACTGCATACAAAGCATGGGGGTTGAAGAAGACCACTCCTAGGAGGGCAGCGAAGACTGCTCACGCAGGCCTGGCAGTAGCAAGGGAGCCAGCCCACCACCATCACTAGCATCTGACAGACTCAGGGCTGGCAGGGCAGTGAGGGAGCTTTATGGGAAGAAACCACGAGAAGGCTTCCGGGGTGCCCTGACTGGGAACTGTCGGCAGGTGGGTTCACTAGAAGCAGGGCATCCTATGTCACTGGTTCAGGGTGAATAGTTGGCTTTTCCAAGTCAGCCTGAAACGGGAAGTGGGGACAAAAATTAGGGAAGCTGGCAGTCGTTGATGGGGTTTGTGGTTCGACTTCCTGAGCTGGTTACTATGGAGCCCTCAGGCCAGAGTTCTACAGTCAGTTCTGGTCTGGCCACCTTCACTTTGCGCAGTCTCTCGTGAGGGTGAACCCCACAAAGCCAGGCCCCCAGGGGCAGCAGAGCCACACAGAGTCTACAGCACACTGGTAGGGTGAAGGGGGTGACTATTGCATGTCTTGAATCTGGGCACGGAAGCAGCTCCCAGCATGCACAGGGCTCTGTTGGACACCAGGGTGGCCACCTCTTGTGCCACAGCAGAGTCTGCATGAGCAGTCTAAGCTACTGTCGCAGGGCTGGTCTTCTGTGACCGCCACACTTTGTTCCAACAGGCAAACAGAAAGAAGAACACCCCTTCCCACAGCTCTTTGCTCTCCTAATGAAAACAGACATCAGCTCCCAAAGCTCCTTCTGTAACAGAGGAGCTGGGACCAAGTCAGTTCTCAGCTCACACAGAGGACCCGGTCCTGTCCTGGGTGGTCAGTGAACACCGACTGGTTTTGACCTGCACATTGAAGGGGCACAGAGTTTGTCTATTCAGAGGCTCACTCACCAGAAGGCACAAGACAAACAACACTGCACACCCTTGCACTACTTTAAACTTGGAGAGCCGCGGCCCACTGCTGTTGAGTCGCAGCGACCCCCCAGGACAGAGGAAAAGAGCTCCCTGTGGGTGCTGAGACTGGAAATCTCTATGGGTGTAGGCAACCTCGTCTTTCTACCTCAGAGCTGTGGGTGGGTTTGAACCGCTGACTTGAGGTTAGTGCGTCCCACGCTGCACCGCGGAACTCCTCTTTGAGAGGAACAGCTTAGGGATGTGTCTGAAAACATGTCTCCGTTTCTCTTTTTTCCAAGATGAAGTTTGTTCTCTTTTTTATAGTAAGAGGGAGACACACACGTGGGGCAGACAGGAATATTGTGAAGGCGGGTGGGTGAGGCCTGGGGGGTGGACAGGGAAGCTGGTGAGGTGGGCGTTTGGGTCAGGAAATCAGTTCACTTCCCCTGAGCGAACAGGGCCACCCATTCCGGGCTTCACTGGGAGGTGGAGGAGTGGGGCTGGAGGTGGAGGCCAGTGCCCAGGTCCTGTGAGAGGGAGTGTCGATTCCTCTCTAGAATTAGCCATACAATCTTGGAGTGCTTGGGGGAAATCAATGGGAGGAGGGGGGATGTCTGGAGAAAATAGCATCTCTGCTTTCTCAGAGGGAAGAGGAAGAGGCAGGAAGGGAGGTCAGCCATAGAAGAGAGATTTTCCCTTCCCAGAAACAGAGGTGAGCGGTAGAGGAGCATTGCGGCCAGATGATATTTGGAAAGGTGTCCGCATCACAACCTTGATTTCCTCACCCCTGCTCGCCTCCCAAGCTGGTCTGGGAAGCCACAGTTTTCTCCATCTTAGCAGAGAGAGGCCAGGAGATGCGTGGCTTTGAGTTGCCAAGTCAGATCTTCTAAGTCTAAGGCCAGGATGGCTCAGAACAGAGGGGTCCTAAGGGTCCCCCATCTTGGTGTTAAATGTTGACAGGTAAAGTGAGGGTGAATGTGACCCAAATCTGTCCCAAAGGGGTCAGGGTCTCAAGTTCGAGGGAGGGGCAGGCATGCCAAGACAGTGGTCTAAGTGGACCCCAGAGCATCAGGCGTGGGACTGGGGGCTCTGCAGAAGGGAAGGGGCTCTGTTTCTGAGCGTGGCCGATGGATCCTGTGAGTGATGGAGAGAAGCCTCCTTAGTGCTTGATGAGAGGACAGGAGAGGGCTGGGTAGAGGGCCTGGCCGAGAGAATAGGACCTGAGGGGTGTGGGTGTGATTGTGCGAGTGGACCGTGGATCTGTGTAACTGTCAGAGTGAGAGTAAGCGTGTGAGTGTTCTACAGTGAAGGTGTGAGTACGTGAATCTGGAAGTGTGTCAGTGTGTGAGGATGCCTGTGAGTGTGCTGTCTGTGTGTATGAGAGTTGGTGAGTGAGAAGGTGAGAAAATGTAAGGGTGTGTGTGTGTGAGAGTGACTGAGTGTGAGCGTATGAGTATACGTGAATCTGTATGAGTGAATGTATAAGTGTACTATGAATATCTGAATGAGTGTTCTGTAAATATGTGAGTGCAAAGTGTGTGAGAAAGAGCGAGAGAGAACTTTGAATATGTGTGTGAGTGTGAATGGCGGTGCGTGTGAGAGTGCCTGAGCGTGTGAGAGTGTGTGGTGGGTGTGGGGCTGGGGAGTACAGCTGGGATATCGGGAAGCTTCCTCCTGGGAATCAGAAAGGACAACAGCTGGCACTGGAAGCAGCCTGAGGCTGGCCGATAGGGCTTTGACCTGACTGTGGGCTGGACCAGGCCGGGGGAGACCACGCAGGGTTCAAAGCTGGACCAGGCGCGTGCCACAGAGCCTGGGGAGCCCGGCCAGGGGAGGCACAGGGACCCGGTGCCCTTGCTCCTCCACACTTGGGGAGAAGGGGGAGGATGGAGCAGAAGGACCCCAAACGTGCAGTCTGCTGAAAGTGGCTAGATTTCAAATCCCTGGAGTTGGCAGTTACGTGACCGCTGGCAGTGGAAATGGAGGGCCAAGAATTCCATGAAGTTCAATTGCACAAAAGTAGAAGATTCTGATTTTGTGCACCAGAAGAGCTATATTTACGGGGCATTGTCCTCTTAATGCATAGTTTCAAAGGTCTAAATACCCAAGACATATATATCTTACAATTACAACTCTGCAAAAAGGGAAGTTTGCACAGACAAGAGATTGGAAGGAAGCAGATGAAGGGGAAAAGTTAAGGATGATTCTCTTCCCTGCTGGGAGTGGGTTATGCACTGGGCAGTGAGGTGTGGGTTTAGCCGTTTGAGCCCCCCAGCAGCTCCGTGGGAGAAAAGATGAGGCTTTCTGCTCCCATACTGATGGATGCCTCAGAACCTGGTGCAGGGTAGCTGCGAGTCAGAAACAACTCCCTGGCACTGAGTCTATTTTCCTAATTTTCCCAAATGAGTATGCATTTTTATTTATTAAATTCTTTAAAGATCAAATATATATGTACACACACAACGGGAACATTCCAAATGCAAACTGAAAAGGTACAAAAGAAATCATAACAAATGTAAACACTGCAAAAATAGCTCCCTCTCCTTACAGGTACCCATTGTCAACCTTTGATTCCTTCTAGGAAAAGCATGCATGGGCATTTCCTGTGGAGAGCCTGTGAGACTTTTCAAATCAACCACCACCAACAAACCCTCATTGAAAAAACTGAGAGTGCAGGGAAACTGGAGGGTTTAAGCAAACTCCCTCTTAGTACAAACGCTTCCTTTTTCTGTAGTTAAGAAAAGGGAGACGTCAGACAGGGCAAGATAAGACAAAATAATAATTTATAAATTATCAAGGGTTCATGAGGGAGGGGCAAGCGGGGGGAGGGGGGGAAAAAAATGAGCTGATGCCAGGGGCTTGGGTGGAGAGCAAATGTTTTGAGAATGATGAGGGCAACGAATGTACAAATGTGCTTTACACAATTGATGTATGGATGGATTGTGATAAGAGTTGTATGAGCCCCCAATAAAATGATTAAAAAAAGAAAAAGCAAACATTCCCTTGGTCTCCTCTATTTTGCATGGCGTGTTGGGTGGGTGGGTGTAAACCAGAGGCTTTATTCAATAAAATTTGAATGTGAAAAAGAAGGTGCACAACCGATAGTTTGCCTTTGGGGATTCATCCAGCGGAGCTATAGGTGGTGGGTTCTTGTTTTGTCTTGTTCCATTTCTGGAAGCAAAATCCCAATCAGTATAATAAGGGGCAGAAGTCACACCACCCTGCAGGCTGGACATTGGGGACACGGGGCTGGGACAGGAGGCGGCCAGCCTTGCAGCACAGGCATTCTAAAGGCTCCAAGGACTCCCCGGGCCCAGCAAGGCCAGTGCAGAGCTGTAGCAATTTGGAGGGCGCTGCTGGGCTGGGGCAAAGAGGAGGATTATTCATCACAGAGATGAAGCTCTGTGGGCAAGGGACTACAAGGAAGGAGGTTTGGGATTGGCCAGGAGACCTTGCGAGTGGCCGAGAAAGAGACCTGCCCTCATAACACCTCCAGGTTTTGATGGCAGAAGGGTGTGCATTCATTCTCCCTCTGGAAGGTTCTGAGAACCATTCCATGCGCCATGGCCTTCAACTGTGAGAATCACGGTTAGGGTCACATGCACATTTGCTTAGCAGAAAGCTTCTGAGGAAGTAAAACAAAACTAAGGTCAGAGGAAAAAGGGGGGAAATAACAGTTGTAGAATTAAGGAAGTCTGGCTCATAGACCCAAGGCAAGGGACATCAGCTGTATGGGTTTTCCGGGCTATCGGTCATTTGCGCCCCCCTGGTGTGTTATGTTTCTACTGCATTTAGGTGCAGGGTGAAATGAAACACCGAGCCTCACTCGGCTGTGGATGAGGTTGCCTTACATTTGGAAAGCTTTCCAAGCACTGGGTAGTGCTTTGCTGAGAGAACTGTGGTATGGGACACGTTTCCTCCCACACGAATGGAGACCACACACCTGAATAGTTAGTAGAAAATTGAATGGAGGTTGATTGCGTGTATTCTTATTGTTAAACTCTCACACAATGGACATTGATGAGGGCCATATATTAGGGAGCATTCAATATATATATATATAACGACACGTGAGATAACCACCTATTAAATTATTAAAACAAAGAATAGCATAATACGTACTCTCTTCCATAATATTTTGGTCTGTTCTCCACCTATATTTAAAAAGAAAAAATATATATTAATAATGCACTTGAATGCAAATAAGTTAAAAATATTATTCAAATACATAGAGCTGGCATCATGGAAGTAATTTTATCATAGCATTTCATCTCCAAATCAGTGATCCATGAAGCTACAGAGTTCAATCAGGACATCTTACTTATCTTGGGTAGGAATGATCCAGAATTTCCCTAGTTCTCTAATCATGAGGTCCCTTGTCTATACAATGCCAATTGTCAAATAAAGTCCATTTTCAATGGAAGCAAGGTGCTGCTGATTTCAATATTATGAAACTTATGATATTTTAAAGATGTCCTCCTGAAGGGCAGCACACATGATCTCGAGCATGACAATGTAAGCACCTTCTTCAATCTTCACATTGCGGCTTTCTTTTGCATTTATAGTAAAAAGGTAGAGGAGTTGGATCACAGAGATAAGCCAAGTTCCGTTTGGTTTCTTCCAAAATAAAGCTAGCATTCTTTCTCAACAAATGGCTAATCGGCCAACATTCATTCCACACCAGAATTTAGGACTTGACTCAGAAATCACAAACATTCCAGAAGGGGCGCTTCATTCACGGCTGCAGCCTGGGGGTTATCAGGCTGGATCGGTGGAATTTTTCCACAAACATTTTGACGCACCATTTGTCCACCTGATAATCTCCTTCCAGAAAAAGGTTGCTGTCTGTGTTTATAGTGCCGCAGCTGGTGAGACATTCACGGGAGTTCTCACGCTCTGCTTTTGGTTTTGAATGCAGGGCCATTGCAAGTAGAGTGGGGCCACACTGAGTTCCAAATATTTGTTGATAGTTACAACTAAGACAAGAAGTTGATTGGTTTCTTGGCAGCTGACTCATGTGCAGTCATTGCATCTATAAACAGGTGGTTTTCTGAGAAAAATGACTACTCGGCTTGGCTCACAGGACTCGGGTGCAGCAGTCTCCTGGTCTACCCACACCCTCTAAAGCAGGGGTCCTCAAACTATGGCCCGCAGGCCACATGCGGCCAGCAGAGGACATTTATCCTGCCCGCCGGGTGTTTTTGCCCCGTTTGTTTTTTACTTCAAAATAAGATATGTGCAGTATGCACAGGAATTTGTTCATAGTTTTTTTTAAAACTGTATTCTGGCCCTCCAATGGGTCTGAGGGACAGTGAACTGGTCCCCTGCTTAAAAAGTTTGATGACCCCTGCTCTAAAGCAACGGTTCTCAACCTGTGGGTCACAACCCCTTTGGGGGATCAAATGACCCTTTCACAGGGGTTGCCTAAGACCATCAGAAAACACATATTTCCGATGTCTTAGGAACTGAGACACTGCTCCTCTATCTGTCTCCCGGCAGTCCTCCCACATGCAGACACGCCCACCTATGAGTACCGGGTGTGGAGACCCATGCTATACCATGCTTCAAGACAAAATTTCATTTATTTGTAATTAAAAATAAATATCTCACAATATATAATTACATACTGTTTTTTGTGATTAATCATCATGCTTTAATTATGTTCAAATTATAACAATGAAAATACATCCTGCATATCAGATATTTACATGACGATTCATCACAGTAGCAAAATGACAGTGATGAAGTAGCAACGGAAATAATGTTATGGTTGGGGTCATCACCACATGAGGAACTGCATGAAAGGGTCGCGGCATCGGGAAGGTTAGAACCACTGATCTGAAAGTTTTCAGAGCTGGCTGCATTAGAGGAGAGGGACCTGGGGTCTGATGACCACCCGCACTGTCTGACCTAGAATAACCCCCAGTCATAGAACAGGTCACGGAGACACCTGTCAGTATGTGCCCACTGTTCCGTGCCTTTTGCACTTGAAGAGCACTGACCCAAGAAGAGCCATTCAGAAAGCGCAGTCTTGGAGTTCAGAAACCTGTTCAGCATCATCGGAAAGAAGAGTTAGCTGACAGGATGAATAGAAGCACAAAGTGTGTGAAAGGAACCTTGCTGTCTGATTTCCTTTGTCAGCGAGGTGTTTCATTACGCGACATGCCGGTAAGCCTTTTTAATAGGAACTCAACATTTCCCCATCGAGAGCATGCTCCTGCCTTTCAAAGCTCTTTATTACTTTCAGGTGACTGCAGAGAGGTGACTGCATCACCAACGTGCCAGGAAAGAACAGAAAAAACGGAGACGTCAACGGGAGGACACAGGATATAACGGACAAGCTGTCTCTCCACCCCTTGAGACAATATTCCAAGTTCTGAAATCACTTAAAAACAGACACGCTCACTGCTGTCGAGGTGCATGCGATTCATAGCCCAGCGATGGGTCAAAGAGGTCCTTTTGAGGGTTCAAGGCTGTAATCTCTACAGAAGTAGGTTGTCACAAGGTCACATTGCTCTCCCTTGACCTGAGTCACCGACATCTCCGTGCTTACTCCCTGCACCACCAGAACCCCTGCTTCTACGTCAGGACATTCTTATTTCCATCTTTTTAGCCAAACACAAGTTTGCAAAATCTGGGTGTAACCTTGAATGCAATTCCCGGTCTTATTTCTCTGTAAGGGAAGAGTCATTAATCTAACTTCCCAGACTGACAGCTTGGTAGATAGAGCCTAGGACTAATTCCTGGCATGCAGGTAAGTATTTAATTAATGTTGAATGTAATCATCTCCTTAGCAAGGCAACATATTGCTTCTAGTTCATCCATCCATCATCAAACTCTACTGTGTACTTACACAGTTCAGGGTTCAGTGGTCAACCCTTTCACTGTTTCACAAAAGCATGACCTCCCCGGGAGCAAAAGAGGCCAGGTACGGGGAGGCCCGTATGTAGTATTCTTCACTTACAAACCCAAACCCAACCCCAGCAACACCTGCTGCCCTTACGTCCATTCCAACTTGTGGGTCTCCATGCGTTAGAGTCCAGATGCTCCCGAGGGTTTGCATGGCTGCCACCTTTACAACATCTTGCCAATCCTTGCCTCAACGGTGCCACTCTCTCCATAGGCTTAAACTGCCAATCTTTAGGCTAGTCGTCCTGGCACTTGGACATCTGGGTACCCTGCCCCAGAGATGTACAGATGTGTATGCTATTTGCTGTATTTGCTTTGTGAGAGTGAGTTTGAGAGTACTTGTCAATTGGCTCAGTAGTAGTTTGTTTGTTTATTTGTTAGGGGTGGGAATTGGGTTATTCAAGCCAACAGGCCAAAGTTATTCAGAGGCAAGCTCAATAAACGGGGTGAGTGATCATCTGAGATACAAATGAGGCATGGACATAAGATGATAAGGTTTCACTGTGACTTGCTGCAAAAGTATTTTAGAAGAGACATTCCCAACATGCTTTAGCGAAAGGAACTTGGCAGGAACAACAGCGCATGAAGATGATGGATCAGGAAGGACCCCCACTCGTGCGCTATGTTAAAATAAAATCTGTCTCAGGATTTAGAGTCATGTTTCAGTTACCTTTAAGTTGCTAGCGTTGTGCCAACATCCGCTTTGGAAGGCCGTCTACGTGCTGTCTGGTTATATCCATGCAACCCATCCACCCTACACTCAACATACAGATGCAAACCCAATGCAAACGTTACGGATTCTAACCCAAGGGCCTCTTCCCATATTCACCCTAGGTTCCACGTAAACGGAATTATCTTGTCAATCCAACACTATTCTTTGCATATGTCCATTTTCAAAAATATATATATTAAGGCGCCAAATGGCTTTTTAAATCAGGGATAGGTCTTGGGATAGTTAAGCAGACAAGCTCTGGTCTGAGACTTTGAGGCTGGTTTTACCTCCTGCTCAGCTGCTCAGCCTTAAGCAAGGTAGTCATCTCTCTGTTCCTTCATTTCCTCTTCTTTAGGATAGGCATGATAATACCTGCCTCATCAGGCTGTCCTACTGATAAAGTAAGCAAATATGTGCACACACTATGAACAGCACATGGAGATACGCAGTGAGTATCAGCTGTTGCCAGTACCCGGAGGAGGCCTCGGATTTGTGGAAAGAAGAATTTAATCCATCCTTTCCTGTGCTCTTAGCGCCCGTATTACACATCTCTATTAGAAAATGGTGGTTTCGAACTGCTGACCTTGTGGAACTTAGCCCAACTCACAACCACGATGCCACCAGGGTTCCTTCCACTAGAAAATGGGGCTTTCTAATCCAATAAAGAGTTGCAGTCTCAGAAACTCACGGGGGTAATTCTACCCTCGCCCACGGGGTTGCTATGAGTCAGAATCAACTCAATGGCAGTGAGTTTTTTTTTTATTATTAGAAAATGGATCACTTTGTACTTAAAATATTTAGTTGCAAATGTAATCACGGGGTAAATCTGCTGCACCAGACCTCTTTAAAGTGTTGAAAAGGAAGGATGTTACTTTGAGGACTAAGGTGCCTCTGACCCAAGTCATGGTCTTTTCAATCACCTCACATGCACCGGGAAGTTGGATGCTGAATAAGGAAGACTGAGGAAGAATTGATGCCTTTGAACTATGGTGCTGGCAAAGAGTCCCGAGAATATCTCAGACTGCCCCAAGGACCAACAAATGTGTCCTGGAAGGAGTACAGCCAGAGTGCTCCTTAAAGCCAAGGATGAGGGCGAGACTTAGGCTCACAGTACTTTGGACAAGTGGTCAGGAGAGACTGGTCCCTGGAGAAGGACAGGATGCTTGGTAAAGTAGTGAAGCAGAGAAAGAGAGGAAACCTTTGACAGGCTCGATGGCTGCAATGGCTGCCCCCATGGTCTCAACCCGAAGAACAATCGCGAGGATGGCACAGTGCCAGGCACCGTTTTGTTCCGTTGCACGTGGGATCACGTGGCTCGGAAGCACCTCAATAGCATCTGATATTAGCAGTGCATTTTATAGCTACTTTGAGAGTCCCTCCAAGCAGCCACACTACAGTCTTCATCGTGGGATTCCTAGGGTCTCCCCCAATGCCTGGCACAGGGTAGATGCAGGCACCGACAGCTTGGTACCCAAATCAAATCCATCCTAAAAACCTGTTGGAGAACAAACTTTCACAGAGCTACAGCCTACC